CTCTGTTTGATTCTATTTATTTCTATTTTGTGCAGTACACTCTCTGCTGCATCAGCTGTCTGCAACATACATCACTGACAAGTGTGTGTGTGTGTGTGTGTGTGTGTGTGTGTGTGTGTGTGTGTGTGTGTGTGTGTGTGTGTGTGTGTGTGTGTGTGTGTGTGTGTGTGTGTGTGTGTCTGGAGGGGGAAGGGTTTGTGCACCAGAGACATGAATGTGTGTGTGTTACAGCAGGATGGTTTCTGCGGAAGCTCTGTGTGTGTGTGTGTGTGTGTGTGTGTGTGTGTGTGTGTGTGTGTGTGTGTGTGAGCTGTGAAGGTGACAGTGCTGCAGCAGCAGACTGGCTGTATTAAAGGCACAGTAAAAAATGTTTGGTAAACCATCTTGGATTCTGTTTCAGTACAGAGATACATCGTTAACCTAGCTTAGCACAAACTGCTAGCCAACCTACATTCTAAACTGAAAAAATACACGTTACGCGGTTGAACGCCAGGAATATAAATCTGGGTATTGTTTGGGAATTTTCAAAAAAGCCTGGTCTTACTTAAAAGATATCTGCAGGAATGTAGGATTCTTAGTGTGTGTGTGTGTGTGTGTTTGGTTTTAATCAGTGTTCAAACAATCAAAGCAAAAATGACTTGCGTAGCCAATATCACTATTTATAAACTTGCCTCAGGGTTTTACCATCTCTGCAGGATACAGCAACATTGCAGGTCCAGAGAAATATCTAACGTGGTGAAACAAAGATGCTGACTGACCAACCTTCATTTGTTCCCATTATACCAACAGATAACCTTTTGACCTACCCTCCTTCTAACTGACCTATATACCAACACACCACCAAACCTACCTATCTACCTACTAACCAGTCTATATAGCAGGTTTCTGCCAACAGACATTGCTTAGAAAACACTTATTTACCTCCTAGAGATGCTTGGATCGACTAGTAATCCACATGTACCCGAATAAATTATGTTTTTCAATTTAGACACCCCACTGCTGATGACATATTGCTCTTAACTGGTCTGGTTTTGTTTTAGTGCGATACGATGACGCTTTTATTGTCAGTTAAAGTCTGAACATTTTCTGGCATCCCAGCAGATATCCCAGTTATTTATCTGACAATTACCCAAAGTGACTTTCACACGCCTCTTCGGAGACATGCCTTCGAGAAAAATTGCCGTTAAGTGTCTTGCCCAAGGACACTTTGACATGTTGATTGCAGAGGCTGGGGAGCGAACCGCTGACCCTCAGATTGAAAGACACCCACAGCCAAAAAAGAAGATTGGTTTCACAAATCAGATTAACGTCGAAGGACAATAGTTGCAAATGCCATTGTTGACGGCTGAACAACTCTTGAAAGAAATTACAGATGATGCAAAAAATGCCATCCAGATTTCAATGATTACCGCTGTGGTTAAACTACGACACCCACCTACTACTTGCTGGCCTACAAACTTACAGACTGGAAAATGTACTTACCTCCTGACTGATTCAAACCCACCTGCAATAAACCATGCTAAATGACACGATACGATACATTTGTTTTGGATTCTATCCTGCAGAAAAAAATCATAAATACAATCATAGTACACGATAAAAGACAATTGTACATTCACACATGATTTACAATACATGTACACAGTTTTGCACATATACAAACACTGACAATTATAACCTATTGCATAAACCCCTTGGCTTACATTTCAACTACATTACAATCATTACATTACATTAATGATCTATCTTTCTGTATTACAACACAGCTACCTATCAACTAACTCATGTAACTACCAATCTTCTGCCCTGCCTATATTAAATGTATGTTAAATGTACTAAAGCAAAAAAAAGCTCACCAACAGACATATCTTTCTAGCTACCAAACTACAGGTTGGCCAGCTGGTCCACTGTCCTACAAATCTTTTGACCTTAAAAGATCAGACTGAGCAGCTAACCTACCTTTTGTCACATCTTTAGTTGAGGTGCAGTAGTTTATTATATACATATTTAACTATAAATAAACAAGATGTGATATTTATCTCAGTAACTCTAACAGGAAGCTTGACGTGTTGCTATTGTAGGGATTCTGGGTAATGTAGTTTGGTCAGACTGCCAACAGACGGGAGAATAAAC